TAACACAGTGGATGAGTTGTGTGGTTGTCATAACAGAGACATGAACAACATAGTCCTAAATGCCCCATTGTGGACTCTACACAGGAGAACACTGGAGAGAGGAACATAATCTCCAAGCTCTTGGATTCCGTGTCACTGTTATTTGGGAGCATGAGTTTTGAAAACTCATGGAATTAGATGCAGCACTGAAGTTATTCCTGCTCTCACACACGATGTTGCTCCTCGACTAAATGTCTGCAATTCTTTCTGTGAAGGTAGAGTATATGCCATCAGAATGATGTATGAAATCAAAGATTGAGAGGAGGTTAAGTACGTTTATTTCACTTTTCTTTATCCGTGGACAAATAAGTGTCGTGAGTAGCCCCGTTTGACATCCAGTAGTCATCATCAGCGACTTCTCCATTGGATTAATCAAATGTAAAATAATACCCCAAGAATACTTTATCATCCAGTCCTTTTACTCCACATCTACAACATACTTATACTTTCCGCCATTTTGTTGTTATAGTGACGAAAATCGAGGGTTTAAGAGAACTTGGGTGAGAGAACAAGTGAAGACGGTCATATAATGTGGGTATATCATCATGGAAATTTATGAAATTTTCAGCAGAAATTTACTCGGCTTTTTACAGGTTATATTGTCCTTCCTGAAGCTTAAAACAAAATAGTTCTGGCTGGCCTTCGTATTGTATGATAGTTGAGGACAAACAAGAATACATTCGACAGTATCATAAGAAAGAGGGCGACGGTCAGTGTGAAAGCTGTGTTTCAGCTCTTACTGGGTTCTGACTGAGAACAAAACACCACTTACTTCTGTAAACTTTGTGGAGGAATATCACCAGTTGTTACTGATGTTACTCTTCAATGATGACATCTGTTAGAATTTAAAATAATATATATATATAACTTTCCTTTATGCTAATTGTCAAACAACAAGGCTTTTAGTTATATTTCTAAATAGTATAAATATATACTATATTGTTGTTGAGCTTAGGATTCTTCTACAGTAGGTGTCTATGACTTGTTAGTGATAAATTCAACGATGAATAAACACCACACACTTTACTTGTTTTCAAAATAATATATATATTCAGAACAAGTTAACGTACGTACAATAAATTTTTCAACACTACAGATATTATGGATATATTATAAATACTAACTATGTAGTTCTCTCCTTCTTGTCAAATATACACTTAGGCCTATTCAAAAGAAGAGGCTCGATATCTGACACAGATTGTTCAACCTAATAAAAAGAAGAGACGCAAAGGCCCTGCACTCAGAATCACTAAAACCAAGAGACTGAGAATATCGAACCCTGATATTTTTGACAAGTAATTATGTCTCTTCTACCTCATGAAAAGTCCTGTCAGTGTACAAAGTCTGAGCTAGATTTGTTTTCTCTTCCTCCCATACAAATGGCGATTGAAGAAGGTTAGTGGACAGAATATAATCCTTTAGTATCAGTGAGTGACAGTAGTGGACCCATCGAATTTTTTATATCAGAATCGGGAGATGAATACATAGATCTGGCACAATCGTATCTTCATGTAAAAGCAAATATTATCAAACCAGGTGGAGCTAACATAAGAAACAAAGAAGTTATCTCTATTCCTGTTAGACTGTTTCTTCATTCACTATTTTCTCAAGTGGATGTACACCTGAATGACAAGCTCATCTCTTCATCTCACAATCTTTATGAAAATCGTTTTAAAATCCATCCAACTAGTATCACTTTACTTGTTTCTGTACTTTTTATTGCAACATTTACTTTGTTTTGGAGACTTACAGCAATTCTATGTATAACGAACCTACTTTCTATTAAAATTTTAATTTTTTCTATTTATTTGTTCAATTTTTATATGTCTATGGAATTTGATACAACATCTACAAACTTTCAGTATAGCCATATCCCTGATTGCTATAACGTTTACAACAATTAAAACCACAATTACAAATTTATAAAATGAAATCCTCCCTTTGGCTTACAGATAAGTGTATAAAGTTGGCAAAGTAGGGATTAAATTTCATAAATTTGTGATTATGGTTTTAATTCTTGTTTCATTACTTTTTCTAGCAGGATCCCTACTTCATTTTAACATTCATGATTTTTTAATAGTCTTGTTTGTTTACATTTTATTTTATACCTGTATAAAGTATATACATTACCTTTAGAAACTGTCACATGTCTATCCATTGATATGTAGCGCCATCTGTTGGTTTTAAGTGGGTAGAAAAGATATTTAAGCATGATGTGTTTACCTTTTTTAAAAAAAAGTTGTATATATTTATCCGAATATCAAAGCAGATACCCACAGACCAGTCAAGTAAGCTGGAGAAATCTCGTAACGATAGTCCGAGTCTTCTAGGGGCTAGCCCCGCTAACGTGATCAGGTAGGTGGTAGATGAAAAAGTTGCTGTTTTAGAAATTTTTAATTGTTATACTGGAAATGTTAGCGACCTTTTTTTAGCGTATTATTAGTATATATGCGCATATCATATCGAAGCCAATACTTTGAATGGTCGATTTTTCACTTAGGAATTCAATAAGATGTTTTTTTCAGCGCGTGAATTATTTGGAAACCTTGTCGATCCCTTCTATTAAGTACTACCGTACTTAATAATACTGTAATAGAAGGTTTTTTAGTGAAAAACTACACAATTAGCTATCTGATTTCTGGTACAGGGAAATAGAACCCTGGATTTTAGCGCTTTTCAGTCCAGAGATATATCTAAGACACACGGGGGAGGAGACATATATAAGACATTCCAAAGTTTGTGTTTACTAAATTAATGGAATTTCCACCAAAGAATTTTATATTTTGTATTTAATGAAAACATATATGATTAGACTGATGCAGTTGCCATAGGTCATAAATTAGCTGATGTTTAAGTTGTCTCTCTGTAGGACAGTGGTAAATCTATGACTTACAACTCTAAAGCCTTTTGTTCCGAATCCCCCGTGGTGGACACACCAGATAACCCAATGTGGCTTTGTTCTAAAACAGACAAACTGCTTAAGCTAATCTTTTTATATATTTTCTAGAATTATTGAATACAAAGCGGTAATTTTCTTCCTCTAGAATGTAAACGTTACACTATTCTAGACAAGTAGACGAGAATTTTGTGGTCGTTAAAAGTTCTGAACACATTAAAAAGTTCTTAGTTGCTATAGCGGCAAAAATCAACATATTAAGTTTGCATTCTAATGCAGGATAGTATATTAATTCATATTATGAAAAATAAAAACCTGATTATTACATCTTATAACAAACCTACCTTTTCTGGACTTTGGCCTATTTTCATGGTTTGCTTCGATCACCTTCAAAGTTAGTTTTCATGAAAATTTTATTCGGGAATTACTATCATCTTCAAAGTTAATTTTGGTGAACATTTTATTCGGGAATGATAATAGCATTTATCTAATTTATAAATAAATAAGTATTATCAATTCGTTATTCAATGGCAATCAACTAGTTAATAATTTCATTAAGTCTGAGACCACTATTACTCTAACGTACTGTTACCAGCGTCACCTCTTTTTGTTTATTTTGCTGTTCCTCTGCCCCAAACTCGTGCTGGAAACAAGTACATTTGTGTGGTGATAGATTATTTCACCAAGTGGCCTGAGGCATATGC